CAGGAGACGGAGGTTGCGGTGAGCCAAGATCGCACCATTGCACTCCAGCCTGGGAAACAAGAGCGAAACTCCGTCTCAAAAAAAAAAAACTCATTCTATTTCTACTAAGTCGTACAATGTGTGGTATCCTAAATCAAATCCTATCAGTTAGGCTGTATGTAGGATTTTTATACCATCCTTTTAAAATTCTCCTCCAAACCACAAGACTAAGAGTCAGAAGGGCTGAGTTGTCCAAGGCTGCCCAGTTAGGAGAGGGCAGGATCAGAGCCAAGGCCAAGTCTTTCATGAGGCTCACTCCTTCCCTTTAGTATTTAGTAAATGCTGCAGTATCAACCAATTTATTATATGTCTCCATGCTTATTAAATTTTGAATACAGATGAACATCTTAAGTAAATGTGATCCTCCCCCAAAGTGTTAAAAGAAAGGGGATACCTAAAAATCTTCCAGAAAGTGCTAACTGCTTGAGATGTTAGGTTCTAAGTACACACCCCCAACCACCTCTCTACCCCGACCCCCCACAGCCTCAATCTTACCTGAATGACCAGGCTCTGGAGGGGGAGGGGGGACACACACTCCCTAGTGCATCCTAGCCAGGAAGATCTGCAGCATGCAATGGTTGGAAAATGAAACAAGTTCACTGCATGCTTATAAGCTTGAGGACCATTTATAGCAAAGACCAGGGCTTTTGGTATTAGGATATAATCAATGTCATGTCAATTCCAGCTTCTGCAAGAGGTAATGAGCACTTCACAGCTTAATCTAAGAACAAAGGGACACCTCAGAGAAGAGAGGGGAATGACTTAATTGTTCCTCAGTCCTTGCTTGCTGAGCAGTAACCGTGGTTCCTTTCTGGGGTGTGAGAGCTCTTTCTCAGCGTTAACCATCCTCCGCTACTACCAGGAGGGGAAGGAGGGACTGAGGATTACGCTGGAACCTGTGTGAAGCAACAGAGGCACTGAAACATCTCCATTTACATGAATTTGACAAAGAAACAGAAAAGAAATGAAAAAACCCTTGTTTTCAGTACACAGCAATTCTTTCTACTCCCACTATCAGCAGGAGTCCTGCAGAACAGAGAGGAAATTCAAGGGTGAACAGAACGTTCCATTCCTCCCACCCCTGAATCCTTCAAGACTTTGTCGGCCTGGCCCAAGGGAATGCTATCAATAAGTGCAACTGAATATATTTTAAAGGCTGGCTGTTGCTTTGTGGGTTTGTTTTTGTAGTGTTTACCCTGAGTGCTGCAATTACAAATACCAAACTGATTCTACCCATGGTGAGGATGTCAGCCCATACTCATGTAAGCCAGATGGAACTCACCAGTCAGGGCCAGGTGAGCAGGGACACCGGTGAGGAGAAGGGCAGAGCAGGGCAGAGTGGGCTTGAGGAAGCCATCGCTCATGTTCTCTAACAGGGTCATTTAGCTGCAGATGTACCAGTAGATAGTATAATGTGGTGATAACCCCTTTCTTGGTGGAATTTTAAGTCTTTATTAAAAGCAGTGAATAAATCAGGAGCTCATTGGAGAAGATATTTGCCAATTAACAAGTAGCAGCTGTTTTTCTTTCTTTATAAGGGCCCAACTGATTAAAATTGTATGCCTCATTTAAGCAAGAATCTCGTGTACTTTACCTGGGGAGAAAAAAAGGCTGTGCATTCTTTATTCAAACAAAGTGCATGCCTCTGTGATTCATTAAAACACTCTGAAACTGAATACAAATTATCACCACACAGAAGCATTTGCACTTGCTCTGTATCATGTGCACATTTTTAGTTCTTTGTTTAGCATGATCTGCCTCCTTAGGAGAATCTGCTTTGGATATTATAAATATGTAACAATAGCTTAAGGGAGCTACAGCCAGCCCGCAGAGGCAACAGCCTGCCCCAGCCAGGAGGAGGAGGACACCTCATCCTCACCACCTAGTACAGCCCCCTTGAGGCTGAGAAGGCTTCCTGGCTGCAGGCAGCGACTCTATTGTCTGGCAGTGAAATGGCCAGGATCACTTCCCCAACACACACACACCCCTGGTCACCACCTCACACTCATCCCTGCAGGCCTCATCTAATCAATCATGGAAGCCGTAAAGACAAACACCCTGCGCCAGCTCTCCATGGCTGCCTCTGGAGCCAGCTCAGTGAGAAGGCACGCCTGGCCCACAGGCACAGCCTGATCTAGTTTGGCTGTGTCCCCACCCAAATCTCATCTTGAATTGTAGCTCCCATAATTCCCATATGTCAAGCCATGGGAGGGACCTGGTGGGAGGTAATTGGATCATAGGGTTGGGTCTTTCCCGTGCTGTTCTCCTGATAGTGAATAAGTCTCATAAGATCTGATGGTATTATGAAGGGAATTTCTACTGCACATGCTCTCTCTTGCCTGCCGCCATGTAAGACATGCCTTTCCTCCTCCTTTGCCTTCCACCACAGTTGTGAGGCCTCCCCAGCCATGTAGAACTGTGAGTCCATTAAATGTCTTTCCTTTATAAATTATCCAGTCTTGGGTATGTCTTTATTAGCAGCATGAGAACACACTGATACATAGCCCTTCCTAAAAGAGCTTCAAATGGTACGTCAACCCCATGTAAACTCAGGCCAGGAGATCCAGAAGCCCCTGTCCTGGCTTTGATGTGCTATTAAGAGGATGCTAGAGGCCACCTGAAGCTGACCATGGAAGGCTGCAGAACAACCATGTTCACCTTCACCTGGAAGGTTCAGGTAGACTCTCACTGGCCAGTGGAAAACTAATCCATCTCCCAACTGACATAAACGCAACCTGGGAAAACCAGTGTTTCTTTTCATACTCTTTATTCTGCCACTGGTCCTTAATTCATCATCCATCCATCCATCCATCCATCCAACCATCCATCCATCCATCCATCCATCCAGGATCTTCTTTTTTTAGAGAAAGAGTCCTGCTCTGTTGCCTAGGCTGGAGAGTGCAGTGGTGCCACCATACCTCACTGTAGCCTTGAACTCCTGGGCTCAAGCAACCCTCCTGCCTCGGGCCATAGGCACACACACTGACTTATTTATTAAGGATCTCCCACAAGCTAAAGATGGCCGATGCATCACCCACCCGAGCCCACAGTGTAGGTGGGAGGCCAAAAGGTAGACAAATATGTAGGAGAAGGTGCAAGAAGTGTTCATACAGGTGGAGGAATACTGCTCTGTACCTGGGGAGGAGGGAAAGCATGCGACAGAGGGGAAAGCCACACGAGGAATCACCCCCACGCTTGCCCAGGGAGCAGGCTCAGTGAGCACAGCAATGGAGTGGGTGCTCCAGGGAGGAAGGGCAGAGTTGGGGGAGTATGGAGTGGCGGGAGGCCTGTGGGTGGGTGAGGACAGCAAGAGGATGGGAGGGAGCAGAAAGGTAGCCTGGGACGGCATCCTGGCCAGGGAGGCCTGGCGAGTCTCTGTTCACAGGCGTGGCCACCTTTTCTCCTGCCCCTTCTCCTGCTCGCCCTCTGCCCTCCTTCAGAACGCAAAGCTCATGTTCTGCCTTCTTTGCTTTCTCTTAAAAACCCCAAGGGTAAATACCTTCCATGTAACAGCAAATGTTCTCAACACTGCCAGATGAAGGAACAAGCCCTGTTTCTTACCCTGAATCCCCAGAGTTGACCATTTCACATCACAAGTGTCCTCTGAAAGTGTGTTTTTCTTTTTTTTTTTTTTTTTTTTTTTTTTGTGGGGGACGGAGTTTCACTCTTGTTACCCAGGCTGGAGTGCAATGGCGCGATCTCGGCTCACCGCAACCTCCGCCTCCTGGGTTCAGGCAGTTCTCCTGCCTCAGCCTCCTGAGTAGCTGGGATTACAGGCACGCATCACCATGCCCAGCTAATTTTTTGTATTTTAGTAGAGATGGGGTTTCACCATGTTGACCAGGATGGTCTCGATCTCTTGACCTCGTGATCCACCTGCCTCAGCCTCCCAAAGTGCTGGGATTACAGGCTTGAGCCACCGCGCCCGGCCCTGAAAGTGTGTTTTTCATAGCTAAACTCCCAGTTTGCTAAATTCAGATCCTGTCCCCTAATGCCATGTCTGCAACTGAAGGTACTCAAAAGCTGAGTTAACTTTAGTCTACACAAAAATTGTCGTGAAGAAATGCCTAAAGGATATAGTTGAAAGCCACAGAAAGCACATACGTCCAAGCCAAATGCTACATCGAATGAAGTGGAAAGACAACTTTACTCACAAAAGCAAAGTTACCTTTGTGCAACCGAGAAATGACTCGCCTGTGTTTTTCAGTGGGTGGGCCAGGGAGAACACCTGTGACCATCCTAATTTTTACCACATTTTTTCTCAGAAGTGGCCCTGGACAGAGCATCTTTAAAATATCCATCCCAGAGACAATCTTAAAACTCAGCCGGCTGAAGGGCTCAGAGGCCTCCACGTGCAGCTCTCCCCTCACAGGGTTCTTCATGGATACAGCAGCTCCCTAGGCCCTTCTTCACTCACCATGACCCCAGCAATCAGGTTCATATGGCGAGTTAAGTCTCACACCCTGGGCTAGTCAAGATGGACAAGATGCTGAACAGAGCTGCTCACCCAAGGACGCCCAGACAGGCGGCCTGCTTGGCTCTGTGGGGACACTTAGGCTTTCCCAGCCCTCCTCCTGTCACCCCTCACCTAAAAAGATGACTCCACCCTTTTGTGCTGAATGACTACTAGTAGGAGAGTTCTGGCACAAAAAACAGCTCTCCCAGTTTAAGAGAGCATCATTAGACTTCCCTGACATTACAGGTTCTGGCGAGGCCCAACTAGTAAATGTGTTGCAGTGTTTAAAATTGGAATCATTTCTGCTTCTGGTAAGGCCCAACAACAAAGGCAGAGTATTTTTATCTCTAAATTGCTTGTCATCTCCACTGATCTTCAGACAGGTGAGTGCAGAGGGTCTGAATACTCACTGGTTGTAGACACTGAGACGAGTGGGCTGTACTCACACTCCCCAGAGGGGCTGGTGACCTTCAGGCGAAATCTATATAGTGTCCTTGGTTCCAGACCTTCAACAACATGCTTCGTTGCATATCCCCTAGACAGGAGGAAACAAACATGCTGAGGACACCAGGTAACCTAACCCACACGCTCTGATGAGACACGAGAAGAGCAGGTGGAAGTGATTTTCCTTCTATTTCCAGGACAGAGCTGATGGATCCTGCTTTGCTGAAGTCCTAGAGAATAAAGGACAGGTCCCACATGGTGCCTCTATCCCAACCCAGCAGGTGCCCTCTGTCCCATAGAGCCTAGCCCAGGGCCTGACACATAGCTAGCATGCAGTTTTGTACTTTTGAAAAACAATCATGTTAACTGTGATATTTGTCCTCAAGTGACAAAGTTTTATATTTGAAAGACATGACAGGCAGTCAAATCATACACACGTTATTTTCAAGTGGGGCCCATCGAGTGGTGGGAGCCATCGAGTGGTGGGGGCAGTGAGGTTCATACACGGCCGCATAACTACTGCAGGCAAAATACCACTGCAGGGCAAGGACCTGAAGAAGTCACATGCAAGACTGCTTGTAGCCCATGAACAGCTTCCAGTAGAGCTGGGAGCTCAGGCAGCACATGGAAGACAGTGTTAATATCATGCCCCATGGTCAAGTTCATCTTAGGAATGTTTGTGGGAAATGGATGCTGAGCACTTCTGGGATAGAGACTCATGATCGAAATCCGCACACCTCCAGAGGGAAGTAGTACTGAGTCTAATCATTTGCAGCCTGCAAAATGAGCACCAAGACATGCGGTTAGGCAGTCTGCCTGCCTGCTAGGATGATGCTGGGACCCAGCAGAAGTACTAAGGTAAGATCTCACCTTCTGCTTGTCAGCAGGTCCCAGGAGCCTGGCTTTGACTTGGCGTGCATTCTATAACATCGGGTCTCCAAAAGTTGAAAGAGCCATACATGCTTCCCAATATTACCCAAAGCCTCTATATTACACATTTCTCTTTGCTGCCAACATTTTTTATTCTTATCTGACTAAACTCCATGTATCCTTTCGCAAATCCTAGCTCTCTAAATTGTTTTCTTCTACTCAAAGTCTTGGCTTTTGAGAGAGAGAGAGAGAGAGAGAGAGAGAGAGAGAGAGAGAGAGTGAGTGTGTGTGTGTGTGTGTGTGTGTGTGTGTGTGATTTCCAGCTCTTTCTTCTTTCCCGCTTCAACACTCAATCTGGTTCTTGTTCTCCTCCCTTGGACCATTCTCCATAGCCCCTTAGATGCCAAGGTTACCACTGTTTCCTCCTATTTTTTTTCCTGTCTCTAGTTTTCCTGTTATTCTCAACAGACCCTCCCAAAATACCAGAACCATTCTATGGGATTCACAACTAATTTTTCAAGGATGATTACATGCAACTAAATATGTATACATCAATTCTATTCTGGGCAATGCAACAAGTGTATCTCATGCCCATTATTTGCAAGGTGCTGGGACAGGCTGGGATGTAGCCCTGAGCCAGCTCAGGGCCAAAATGAACCTGTCAACACTGAGTTGACCCCAACTTTCTACTGATGGGGTGACAAGAAGAGGGGCATCAAGGACAGTTGGGAAGGGAAGCTGAGCAAGGGTGAAATGCCAGTACTGGAGTTAGCATCACCAATAACACCTGAAAAAACCCGACTTCAGATCTGGGCCGGGTCAGTGAGCTAATGCCTCATCTAATCATCAAACAGCCTTGCCCACTCGCTCCCAGCCCCCACCAGACTTTTTTCCCTGAAGGACAAGGCATGGCATTAAGTGTGTGGCTAAAGAACAGACCCAACACTTGTCTAGAGGGAGGAATATCTCCAAAGGCAAACCCAGAAGGGCTTCTAAGTTCCTTCTGCCAAACTCAACCATCAAACAAGTAATTCCCCCACTGAGGAACAGGCACAGGCAGGAACAGCCATCTGAGGAAAGGGTACAGGGCAGAGGAGGTGAGGTGGCAGGAGAGTGTCCTCTGGTAGAGGTATCTCTGATGTCAAGTGAGAAATGGCATAAAGGACTTCCATGACAGACAGGCAGACATCTCCCAGGCAGTCTGAGAAAGGGGCTCCCCAGCCGGGTTGGAAGGACACACAATGCCTGAGAAAGTCATGGTCTAGGCGCTCTCATTGCTGTGAGTCAGGGTGCAGAAGAGTCTGGCGTGTCCAGGAAGGAGGTTCCTCCGTGAAATCTGGAGACAACTAACATCATAATTCTAACTCTAACATTTAACAGAACCTTTTTTTTTTGAAAACTAGAAAACATTTACAAAGATCTTCTTTACTTGATGCTTCTTTCCTTTGTTAAAATGTGACATTGTAAGGTAAAATCAAAATCAAGTACTGAACATTTACTGATCCTTTTTTTACATCACAAAGTCACTTGAGGCACCAAATCCAAATGACTTCTTGGGTGTAGCACAAGCAGAGCCAAGAAAAAGACAAAGCACATCAAGGCACCTCCGACCATGTACGTGCCTCTGCCTCCCTGCTCTGTGCTGGTGGATTCAGCCTCCTAACGGACATCATTTGTGCTGGAAACACATTTTTCTTCACCTTCAAGAAGCCAAATGTGCTGGAAGTCAAGCTGTCCTCCATAGTCCCTACCATCCCTGCAGGAACTTGTTCCTCTCCACACGGAGCTAGAGTCTAGTTCCTCTCCCTTTGAACGGAATGGAATGTGGTGGAAGTGCTGCTGTACAGCTCTGGGTCTGGGCCTTAAGACGCCCAGAAGTTGCTGCTTCTCCTCCCTTGGAAGCTGACCATCATGTAAAGAAGTTCAGCTTCCCTGTTGGAGAAAGAGGCCACCTGGTAAGATAATCAGCGGAAGATCCAGACCACAAGGGAGATGAAGAAGCCCAGCCAGTCTCCTGTTGTCCTGGCCATCCCAGCTGATGCATCACACCTGGGTGAAGCCATTTGGATCTTCCAGCCCCAAGAGAGCTGCAACAGCCAAGACCACATGCGGCATCAAGCCATCAACACCCTAGCCAAATCACAGATCATGAGCAAACACATGACCATCTCTGCTGTAAGCCGCTAAGTCTGGGGCTGGTTTGTGATGCAGCAGACGACTGAGGTAGTATGTATCAACAAAAAGGAAACTGTAAGAAAGACAATGAGGAAATAATACCAACGGCATTACAACCCTTCAATCCGGAAACCAAGAAGTAGATAGGTGTTAAAAGTTGATACAAATACATTTACCATAAAAGTAAAAGCTGTAAAACTAAGATAAATATTCAGAAAAACTGCCTGGGCTAAAAAGTAATAACTTTTTTTTAAACAAAAATGTATCAGCCTGGCACAAAGTAGTCTTGTGAGCAGGTAAATTTTGATGTTAAATGAAAATAGGCCCATGAATACTTATTTTAGTCATAGAAACTGAGCCCTCAACAATGTGTGGCATCTGAAAAGATTTTTAGAAGTTCAATGAGAATATAATATCCAAGCCTCACTGGAATTCAGTGCAAGGTGTCAAAGACTTAGCGTAGTATTAAACCAAAATAAAACCAGAAGTGTTCCCAATAAAATCCAGTATTGCTGAATATCATAAGGTCACCCTGAAGCAGATGGTACCCCCATAACCCCTGGAAAGGGTAATAACCAAAATGTGTTAGAAACCAGATGTTACCAAGCACACTTACGGAAGGCTGAAGACTCTCGCATCACTAGAGATGGCTCCAAAGAGTACAAAAGACACAGCAGGAACCCAGGTCACAAATGTCCACCTGGGTACTCCACAGTGATTACCATACAGGTGCAGGGGGACTCACAAAAGCAGTTCATCGAACCCGTGGAGAAGCACAACTTTCCCTAGACATGATAGCTTAAAAAAATGAAAGAATCTTGGAACTATTTCCACAGTAGAGGAAAATATACAAACATGTAAAGCATAGCCTTGTTTTTATCAGTCAATAAGCAAATGTTTGACACAAGAGCTGAGCAAATATGAAACATAAGAAGCTAAATATTGAAAAGCCCAAAGACTCAAGTTACCAGACTTCCCTTTCTTCTACACACTCCCTCTGCCAGAATTCCAATCCAGCCTCACGCTGATGACTCCAGAGTCTGTCACTCCAACCCAGACCCTTTCCCTGGCCCTTTCTTCCCCAACAGCCTCCTTGACATCTCGGCTTCCCAAACCAAGCATCTACGCCACCCACAGTCTTCCTCGGTTATCGCAGTTGCTCAGGCCAAAAGCCTGGGTGCCTCCTGTGGAAGTCTGGATCGTTGTTCAGGGACGTGAGGTGCCCTCCTGCAAAGATCCCACCTCCCTGACCTGTTGAACTTGGACATGGCTGCATGTCTTGCTTTGAGCAATGAAGTATACACAGAAGTAAAGTATGTCATTCTGGGTGAAAGCTTCAAGGAACAGCGAGCCATGCTCTCTCCCCTGCCACAGTGACTGACAATGTTCAGGCAGAGCCGCCGCATTGGCCTCAGCAGCGGTAGGGGGACAGTGCTGGATGGAGCCCCGGCCGACCCACGGTGGGCATGGTGGGTGGGAGACACCCACTGCTGCCATAGCCACCGACACTGTGACGCTGATGCTTCAGGCAGCATAACTTGGCCTGTGCTGGCTGTTACATATCCCTTGACCATCGTCTCTCTCTCTCTCTCTCATCCCATATCCAGTCCATCAGCAAGGTTTTTACATCCATCTTTAAAGCACATCCTGCATCCTCCTGCTTTCCACACTGTTGCGTTGTTTGCCTTCCACATCATGAGGGAGGAATATTTATCTGTTTATCCCCAGTACCAGATCCCCAGCATCTGGAGCAGCGTCTGATACGTGGCAGACAGTCGGTAATACATACTGATGGGGTAAATGGAATGCGTGAGCAGAAATGATCACAGGGATTTAGGGGACAGACAACAGGGTAGTAAGTAAGGAGAGCTTCTCGGTGGAGGTAAAATCTGACCTGAGCAGAGGAAAGAACAGAGTGAGAGGGGACAATCTGTCCAAACAGGGAAAACAACTGAACACACATGCAAGGCATAGTCAAAGGACAGTAGGAAATCTGACTGGAGGGTTTGTGCTCAGAAACAAGAGGCAACAAGAAAGGTATGCATGGGCAAACTGTGAAAGGCATTAAATGTTAGTCCAAGGAGTTTGGCCTTTATCTTTCAAGAAGTGGAGACCCACCAAAGACAATTTGACAGAAGAAAGATGAAAATGGAAATTGAGCAAGATAGAATGATGAGATAGAAGGTTTAAAAAATAAATGAAAGAGGAATAAGGTCAACTCCTTCCATCAGAAAATACACTGAGCAGGTGTAGGAGCTGGGCATCCAGGAATGAGCTAGACGGAAATGGAGCTTAAATCCTGCAGGGAGCTCCACAGCTAATGAGGAGAAGCACAGAAGCGGCTCTACAAATGGAGAACACAGTAACTGATGCTATGAGAAGCCAAGGAGGAACGCCCCGGCCAAAGACAATGTCATTGATTCCAGACAGACTGATGACTGATGAGAACAGAAACCAACAAATCAGGAAGGAGTTCTTAAATCCACAATCCTAAAATCAGGTACTCTAGATAATCACTTTTTACAAAAAAAGTATTTGCTAGTTTAACACTATGTAGAGAAAGACAAAAGGAAGCAAAAGAGGTCAAGATTAATACAGCCTAATTCTGCCACCTAGCGTCAAGGTTTGTACCATATAATTCTGCAAGAAATGCAGGCATTTCCCCCCTGCCCTTAGAGTGGGGACCACAGATGTCAGTGCCAGCCCCACAACACCAGGCTGTCTTCAAAGTGCGAATGCATTTTTCAGCCTGACAGCAAACGGGTCTCTGGGGAGAATGCAGACAACACAGACACACACCTCAGGCTGGAAGTCAGCACACGCAGCTGTGGTTTCTCTAGCTGAGGCTGCCTACCTGCAACCCAGCAAAGGAAGAGCCAAGGAAGAAAGAACAATTCAGGATGGCCCCACTCACCTGCCCAACCACAGCCTGTGGTGCTAAGGTGATGTGGGAAAGAAACGTGTCTTTTTCTTTCTCCAGAGAAATACTTATCATAATTCATGCTTTTAGATAGGAACTACCTTCAACGAGTAAAACAACATGATTAAAATAACACTTGAGTAGTTAAAACAAGAATTATTTTTACATTGTAACTACATTTCAGATTTTTTTAAGGTACACAGAAATTTCTCAAATATCAGATATATTATCACTTGGGTAACAGTTGAAGTTGAAGCCTTCATATACAAATTATATACATACATATTTTTATATATTTTACACACACACACACACACACACACACCCCCTCATATCAGCACTTTTGTCACAATGCAAATTTGGAAAAGGCCAGAAGAGTGATGGAATTGTGCATCTTGACTGCATCAATGCCAACATCCTGACTGATGCTGCACCGCAATTCTCAAAGGTGTTACTGCAGGGGAGAAATGGGAAAAGGTACATCCAATCACTCTGTATTATTTCTTACAACTGGACATGAATCTACAATTATTTCACAATTAAAAGTTTAATTATAAACTATATTTGTATCTCATTTTTCGTATTCCTGAATCACAAAATAGTCATTTTGCATTTTGCAAGTGGTAAATCTATCAAGGGAAAGAAATAAGTCAGAGCTGACATGAAGGCGAAGAAAAAAAATAGCTTTTCTTTTTGAGACAAGGTCTCCCTCCGTCACCCAGGCTGGAGGTCAGTAGTACAATCGTGGTCTACTGCAGCCTCGACCTCCCAGGCTCAAGTGATCCTCCTACCTCAGCCTCCCAAGTAGTTGGGACTACAGGCATATGCCACCACACCTGGCTAACTTTTGTATTTTTTGTAAAGATGGGATTTTGCTATGTTGTCCAGGCTGGTCTTGAACATCCAGGTTCAAGGGATCCACCCACTTCAGCCTCCCAAAGTGCTGAGATTACAGGTATGAGCCACCATGCCTGGCCAGAAACGACTTCCTGATTACTCCTGGTGGTATTTGTTCATGCAAGAAGCATTTGGAGGGCCTGCTGTATAGCAGACAGCGCTGTCAAGGAACCAGCTAAAGTGTTAAGCAGGCAGGAGTCTTATTTGTCTCTCACTGAGCTTAATACTGGGTGGGGAGGCAGGAAAGGCACAAGGAAAATAAGTAAACAGGTAAACAACAAAGTAAACAAGTAAACTAAGCAAGCAAGTAAAATCAGCCCAACAGAGCTAAGTGCTACGTGGCATACAAAAAGAGATTCTGAGCTACGGGAGGCTCGCATGGAAGAATGGCTACTTCAGATGGCCTTCTGGGGGCGGCGGCATGTTTGATCTGAGATTAGCATGGTGCAAAGGGACCAGCTGTATAAAAACGGAAGGAAATGTACTCAAGGCAACAGCAACAAGCAAGACCCTGCGATGGGAACCAGCGTGGTATGAGAGAGTTGACGAGGGGACAATGGTATGACATGAGATCAGAGAAGAGTAGACCATGTGGGGCCATCCCTTGTTGAACACAACAGCCTCACGGGAACCTCACCTAATTGTATCAAGCTATCGTTTGAGTCTGTCTCTACATTTTGGATTTTAAATACATATCATTAAAGTATTTCCAAAGTCAAAGAAGCTCTCAAAGTTCCAGAGGTTTAATTTCAATGTTATCGCTAATGCCTATTTCCCCAAAATTGTAATTCATAAAACAGCATGAATACAAATGATGCTGACTCATTCTTTAATTTCAAACAAGCCATGGCTTTTTAGAGACAACAGAAATCGTTCTAGCTAATCAGGAAGTCAAAGTAAAGTGGTAAGCAATTCAACACTGCACCTACGTATAAATGATACCATAAGTGTGCATTTTGGGGTCTTCTTCTTCAATCGAGAACCTACACCACTGCTCCTGGGGTCCTCGGCGTTTGGCTTTCTTTTCCAGATCCCAGTATAATTCAATGCTGTGATGAGTTACTTTACACAAGACAGGTGGATGAGGCCTTGAGGATGGCATGATTTCTAAAAAAAAAAAAAAAAAAAAAAGAATAATACCAAATTTTAGGACCTAGTTTCAATAAGGAAGAGAGACCAGTTGAGCGGATTACAGGTGCTTAGTGATCGGGCTATTTTTTTTGCACACAAGGCACACATATGAGTATACCTCTCTGCTGCTTCAAGAACCCCTGAAAAGCTACAGAGATATAAAATTCAGCTAAGGCGTGAGCTACCGCAGTCTTCGACAAGTATATTGTACCATACCCATCACATCAAACCACCCATGGACCCTTCCAAAGCGTTACTTAACATATCAAACTAATAAGGTTGTAGTCGAGCTGCTGGAACTCAGTTTGCTTCTATAATCCTTCAGTGACTGGCTAAGAAACAAAGCCAAGAGATGAATGCTATATCTGATCCAAATATCTGTAACATAGATAACAAAAGTTGACATCTATGCTGTATTAACAGCCGTCGCAAACTAATTAAGAATAAAGGCCCAAGGTTAGCCACGAACCTAGCAAAAGATGAGCAGCACAAAAAGGACAAAAACACATTGCCAAGGTAGTATCAGAAAGATGTCCATATCCCCTAGTGCTCACAGAAATTGATAACAGTGGGGTATAACTTTATCTCCAGACAGAAACTCAAAAAGAGATTTCATAATTATTGAAATTCACAAGATAGGGAGAGGATGTTCTCGTGTGCTGGCTGTAGGGAAATATGAATTATGGCCTTTTTAGAGGGCAATGTGGCAGCATCTATTAAAATTAAAAATACATATACCCCTCTTTCCAGCCATCCCACCCCTGGAAACTTCTGCAGAAATATACATGAGAATGAGTGGACAAGATGGCTGACAAGAAGCAGCTAGACTGTCTGGCTCTCAAGGAGAACAGACGGGGCGAGTGAATACAACACCTTCAACTGAAACAGCCAGGTACTCACACCAGGACTCATCAAGGAAACAACTTGACTCACAGAGAATGAAGAAAACAAGACAGGACAATGGCCCACCTAGGAGCAACACGGAACCAGGGACCCTCCCCTGTCCACGGAAGCAGTGACTGGATGAGTGACCCAGAAACCAGGCTTCTCCCACAGATCTGTGCAAACCTCGGGTCAAGAGATCTCCTTGTGAACCCCTCTCCACCAGGGCCTTCAGTCTTCGTTCTGACAGACAGAGCTGCATGGAGTCTTGGCAGAGCAGCTGCTCAGGCGTATGTGGAGACCCTGGAGCCTTAGCTACTTAGGCTTTCAGCAAAGTGGCCATAGCTCTGGCAAATGGGGAGGTTAGACTCCTGTCCATACCCCTAGGAAAGAGGATGCATCCCGGGGGCTGAGCAGCAACAGCCCGCAGGCCCCACTTTCGCTGCATCTCACAGAAGACCACTGGCTTGGAATTCCAGCCGGCTACTGGTAGTGGCATTGCATGTCCCTAAGAAGGAGCTCCCAGTGGGAGTGGCAGGCCACCATCTTTGTTGTTTGGGCACCTTAGCCATTCCAGCCTTTAGGCTTTGGAGAGTCAGAGGCAACACAGGACAGAAGGGATCCCCCAGCACCGCACCGCACCGCAGCTCCACCGAAATGTGGCCAGATTGCTGCTTTAGGCAGGTGCCTATCCCGTTCCTCCTCACTGAGCAAGACCTTTCAACAGGGGCCTCCAGCCACCCCTCCCCAAGCTGTCCAACTGACAGAGATCTGAATTTCCCCTGGGATGGCACTCCCGGAGGGAGGGGTGGGTCACCATCTTTGCCGTTCGGGTGCCTTAGCCGTTCCAGCCTGTGGGCTTCATAGTATCTGAGGCAAGCTGGGGCTGAAGCGGACCCCAGCTCAGCACAACCATTCTACTGAAATGTGGCCAGACTGCTTTTATAAGTGGGTCCCAATCCCATTCCTCCTCACTGGCCGGGACCTCCTAACCAGGGTCTCCAGCCACTTCCTACAGGTGTCTTTGGGCCAAAAGCAGGTTCATACTTCCCTGGGACAAAGCTCCCAGAGGAGGGGACAGGCTGCATCTTTGCCGTTTTGCAGCCTTCACTGGTGACACGTCCAGGTTCTAGAAAATCTGAGGTGACTAGGGACTGGAGCAGGCCCCAAGTATACCACAGCATCCCTATAGAAAAGTGGCCAGACTGTTACATGAGTGCCTCTTCCCGTACCTCCTCACTAAACAGGTCCCTCCAGGCCTGGGCCTCCAGCCACCCCCTGCCAGAGCTATGGAGCCAGTACCAACTCAGCAACTCCCTGAACAGAGCCTCCAGGGGCAACTGAAAGCCTCTGCCACAACCTCAGCAGTGGAACTGCCCTTGCCACCCTCAAAGTAACAAAGGAGCAAAGACCCTAAGAGTGCCTTAACTACACCTCCAACAAGCTACAGTTGACCCAAGCAGAGGCAGCCAGTCCGTCTCCCACGGGTCCCACCCCCCCCACCCGCCATTGCTCATCACCAGACAGGGAACCCCCGGCTTGGGCACACAGCACAAACCCTGCATCTTGGGCTGACTGCACTGAGTGATTGCTGACCCACATCTCTCTGGCGTGGGGCCCCCAGGAGTCAACCAAATGACCCTTGGCCACAAATCCTGCCAAGATCTCTTCCTCTTCTGCCTCTAAGCTGGGGAAAGAACATAAACACTGAGCTCACCCCAGGGCTGCAGTGGGCATCCCAGGAGTGCCAAGTCACGAACTACAGCCAGGACTCAAGTGGGAGAGGAATGGGCAGTTTCAGAGCACTGAGAGGGAACACGGCTGAAACTGTGAGGCAACAGGGAAGCCACACACCCAAGCAAGAATCTACGAACTAACTGACCAATACCCCTCAGCACCGTCTACTGGATCACACCCCAAAGCTTGACCACCAAAAATACCTCATTAACATACCCCCCTCTGAAACCTGAGACAAGTAAGCTTCAAATACAGACCCTACAAAAAGCATTAATCCAGTGAAAACATCCAGAAAAGAAGTCTGTTGACTCTACTCAATCTATATTAAAGGAACACCCACACTCGGAGATGAGAAAGAACCAGCAAGAACTCTCAAATGGCCAGAGTCATATGTCCTCCAAATGACCATACCAGTCCTCCAATGAGAGTTCTGTACCGGGTAGAACTGGCTGGAATGAAGGAAACAGAATTTAGAATATGGATAGGAACAAAGATCACTGAGATTCAGGAGGTTGGTGAACCCCAATCTAAGGAAAGTAAGAATCACAATAAAATGATACAGGACCTGAAGGATGGAATAGGCAGTATAAGAAAGAACCTAATGGGTCCGACAGCACTGAATAATACAATATGAGAATTTTACGGCCAGGTGCGGTAGTTCACTCCTGTAATCCCAGCACTTTGGGATGCTGAGACACGTGGATTGCCTGACGTCAGGAGTTCAAGGCCAGCCTGGCCAACATGGTGAAACTCTGTCTCTACTAAAAATACAAAAATTGGCCAGGCATGGTGGCAGGCACCTGTAGCCCCAGCTACTCAGGAGGCTGAGGCAGGAGAATCACTTGAACCCAAGAGGCAGAGATTGCAGTGAGGCAGAGATTGCAGTGAGCCAAGATTGCACCACTGCACTCCAGACAGCCTGGGTGACAGAGTAAGACTTTGTCTCACAAAACAAAACAAAAAAAACTTACATTGCAATCGTAAGTATTAACAGCAGAATAAACCTGAAGAAAGAATCTCAGAACTTGAAAACTGGTTCTCTAAAATGGGACAGTCAGACAAAAATGAAAGAATAAAAAGGAATGAATAAAACGTCTAAGAAGAATGGGATTATGTAAAGAGGCCAAATCTACAAATCACTGGCATCCCTGAAAGGGAGGAGAAGAAAGCAAACAACTTGGAAAATATATTCCAGGATATGATCCATGAAAACTTCCCTAACCTTGCTAGAGGGGCCAGTTGTCAAATTCAGGAAATACAGGAAACTCCTGCAAGATTCCACACAAGATCATCTCCAAGACATATAATTGATAGATTTTCCAAGGTTGAAATGAATGTATGTTAAAGGCAGCTGGAGAGAAAGGGAAGGTCACCTACAAAGGGATCATCATTAGGCTAACAGTGGATCTCTCAGCTGAAACCTACAATCTAGAAGAGATTGAAGTCCTATATTTAATATTCTTTTTTTTTTTTTTTTTTTTTTTTTTCTGAGACGGAGTTTCACTCATGTTACCCAGGCTGGAGTGCAATGGCGCGATCTCGGCTCACCGCAACCTCCGCCTCCTGGGTTCAGGCAATTCTCCTGCCTCAGCCTCCTAAGTAGCTGGGATTACAGGCACGCACCACCATGCCCAGCTGATTTTTTGTATTTTTAGTAGAGACGGGGTTTCACCATGTTGACCAGGATGGTCTCGATCTCTTGACCTCGTGATCCACCCGCCTCGGCCTCCCAAAGTGCTGGGATTACAGGCTTGAGACACGGCGCCCGGCCTATTTAATATTCTTAAAAAATATATTCAACAGATAATTTCATATCTGGCCAAACTAAGCTTCCCAGGTGAAGAAGAAAGAGGATCCTTTTCAGACAAGCAAATGTTGAAGAACTTCATTACCAGACCTGCCTTATAAGAGATCTTGGAAGGATCAGTAAATTTAGAAAGGAAAGACCACTACTAGCTAAAACAAAAATATACTTAAACACACAGACCAGTGTCACTGTAAGCAACCACACAAACAAGCCAACATAATAACCAGCTAATGACAAGATCAATGACAGCACCAGCTAATGGCAGGATCAATGATAGGATCAAACAGCACAATGGCAGGATCAAATCTACACGTGTCAATACTAACCTTGAATGTAAACAGGCCAAATGCCCCACTTAAGACGCACAGAGTGACAAGCTGGATAAAAAAGCAAGACCCAGTGTCATGCTGTCTTTAAGAGACCCACCTGACACATAATAACACTCATAGGCTCAAAATAAAGAGATGAAGAAAAATCTATCAAGCAAATAGAAAGCAAAAAAGCAGTGGTTGCTATTCTAATTTCAGACAAAACAGATTTCAAACCAACA